ATCTATTGCAACTCAAAAGACTGGGAGGGTGGAAATCGAGCACGGTTGCTGAAGGCTACATAGAGGCATCTTTGGAGAACAAAAGTAAGACTGCTCTGATGCTATCCTCTACTTCCAAAGGTATTCAGTTGTCCAGTGCATCCACAAGTACATCACATGCGGAAACTCATCCGCAAGCGCAAGAGATAATAGTTCCAAACGAAACACAATTCCAACAGGATGGTCTCAAGATTTCCATTATAAACAACAATGCTAATTTAACAATTAATGTAAATAAGTGAATAGATTTAATTAGTTCCATGTAATACATGTGGTTTTATTATTATATGTGAGAGCTGTATGAAAATTATCAATTTGGAACGAGCAGGGAAATGGGGACGGAAAAGCATTTGCCGTCCCGGACGGAAAATGCTTTTCCGTCCTAGGCAGGCATATGCATTACCGTCCCGATAAATGTCAAAGTCCAGAAATGTGACACTTTCAAGATTTTGAAAAACCTGCAATGTCAACATTACATATGTGGTTGAAAATAAAAGATATTATTGGTCCCCCTAATATGCCTACAATATTATTTCTATATTGTATGTTGTTGAGAATCTGCCAACGACGAAAGCCAAAATGTGTTCAATGTTATAGGGTTTTACGGTAAGTAAACCTGAAATTGTAGTTTTTATAGGTTGATTAAATACTGTCTTGGATCTGTCGGCACACAAAGAACTGCAGTTGGTGGTTTACCAATGTGAATAGAAATTATTGTGTTGGTAACTTTCATAACGATTATATTGCTGCAGATCTCGCTACTCAGAGCTTTTGAGGTAGTGAGTGAACTCTGGTCATATTCAGTCGTTATCATGAGACTTATAATCGCCTATGAAACCTAATTCCAGTTACCTCAGTGAAAGATGTATGAACTTTCATAACCAAAATGAAGTGGACGTAAATTTGACGAAGAAAATATCACAAAACAAAAATGAAATCAACCTCAAATTCACATTTCCAATCGTACCCTTTAGGCCACATGAAATTATTTAAACTAGTGAGAACTAGTGAGATCTCCAGGCCTAATAAATGTATTGGTCAAGCGTGATTTTTTTTTTTTTTTTTACGGATTGCGCACTCGCAAGGAAATGTCCTATCACGCTCGAGAAGCGGTAAATGCGCGGAAATGTCGGTGTATGTTGGTCTTGAAACGGTTCAGGTTGTAACCTGCAGGGAAAACCGTCGCAGGGAGTTTATTCCACAGCGATGCTGTTCTCCAGAGATATGAATTCTGATATAATGAGGTTCTTGGTGCCTCTAGTTTGACAGTAAATTCATGGTTACCGTCTGTTTGACGGGTTCGCCTGGTAGGCGCTACTCTCGGTGGAATCATACGTGCCAACTCTTCAGAGCATTTTCCGTGATAGTACCTGTAGAAGAGAGATAAATCGCCCACAGATCTGCCATGTTCGAGACCATCCAAGTTACGAGTAAGTGCGGGGTCATTGATCAGCTTGATAGCTCGTTTTTGCACGGTGTTCAAAAGCATTAAGGTATGTTTGGGTGCTGCACTCCATATATGTGAGCAGTACTCCATAGTTGGTCGAATCTGGGCTTTGTAGAGTGTCAGCAATTGGCTTGGTGTGTACAGATGTCTTGTACGAAATAGTACCCCCAGCTTTTGGGACGCCCTTTTAGCAATATCTGCCACGTGACTGTGCCAAGACATGTTGGTCTCTGCAGTAACCCCCAAGATGTTCAACTGACTCTGTAATGTGACAGCACTTCCAGATAGCATGATGTTTGGCTCACCGGTGCTGGTCTTTTTTGAAAACAGAGCTGCTTGGGTTTTCTGCACGTTGAACTGTACAAGGTTTTTGTTACCCCAGTCCTCTATTATCTCCAGGTCGTTATTTATCTGCGATATTTGAGTTAGTCTAAGATGATGGAATTCACGTGCGGAAAGACCTGTGGGTGGTATGAGTGAGGAGACTACATTGCCATCGTCTGCAAAGCAATAAAGTGGATTTACTGTTTTATCTATGAGGTCATTTATGTAAATCAGAAAAAGAGTTGGCGAAAGGATTGCTCCCTGTGGCACACCAGCATTTATTTGGTAAGAGTTGGAGTTCTGGCCATCCAGTGCAACATAAATGGATCTGTCCTTTAGGTAACTTTCAAACCAAGTGCAAAGTTTCGGCGATAATCCCATTGCTTTGAGCTTGTTGAGCAGATTTTCATGCCAAACTTTGTCGAATGCTTTAGATATATCTAAAGCAATTGTTCTTGTTTCACCCCGCAACTCAATCGCTGTTGTTTCACCCCGCAACTCAATCGCTGTTTGCCATAAGTGAGTGACGTATGTAAGTAAATCGCCAGTTGACCTATATTTTCGAAATCCGTATTGCTTATCGTTGATAATTTTGTACTTTTCCAAGTACTTGGTTAGGTGATTGTTTGGAATGGGTTGTACTGCGGCAGACTTCCATGATGATGGATATACTCCTTGCCTGTAAGACAAATTGAATAATTTTGTGAAAGTTGGGGTGAGTTCGTTGGCGCAATTTTTGAGTACTATTGCGGGAATGCCATCCGGACCCATTGCTTTGTTTGTATCTAGCTTTTTAAGGGATTTTCGTATTTCTCTGTGACAAAAGGGTACCTCTGGCATACTATGGGAAACCCTTTCAATGAACGGTGGAGTTTTTCCGTTTGGCACTGTTAGGTTGGAGTTGGAGGAAAACATTTGGGCCAGCATATTGGCTTTTTCCTCTGATGTTGTGGCTAAGTGATTATTTTTATCTGTAAGTGGTGGTATGGATGACTTGGTGAAGTTAAATCCAACAGCTTTTGCAAGAGACCAAAAGGACCTAGAACTACTTGGACAATTCAGCAACCTGTTTTTTATTCTTTGATTGTATGTTTCTTTAGCGGAGTCAATAGTAATTTTGCAACTATTTCTGGCTTCTATAAATTCTGTGTGGTTTTGAGCGGTTTGTTGTCGTTTCCAAAGGTTATATGCTCTGTGTTTTTTCTGTACAGCCGTTTGACACTGGCTGTTGAACCAAGGTTTTGCATTAGCTCTACGTTTAGTTGTATGTGGGATATATGCATCCATTCCAGATAAGATTACTTGTGTTATTTCATTACAGCAAATAGTGGGATCAGCTGTTTTAAAGCAAACCTCTTGCCATGGAAAATCCATGTAAAACTGTTTTAGGTCATTCCATTTTGCCGATTTATAGTGCCACATTTTACGAGGAAGTGGTTGTTGGCTTGGTGGGATGAGCATTTCGCAATTTGTTATTATAAGTTTATGATCGGACGAACCAAGTGGAGCATCTACTTGAATTGTGTACGAGTCAGGATTTGTGGTTAGGAACAAGTCTAAAAGCGCTGCAAATTCGCCCCTTTCTGCGATACGGGTAGGTTCATCGACAAGCTGCGTTAGACCACAACTTATGGCAAAAGCTTCTGCTTCTCTGCCTTCGTTATCTGTTTTGTTGTGGTGTTTCAGCCAGGGTATATTGTGGACGTTGAAATCGCCTAAAAAGACAATTTCCGCCTGTGGATAGTTTGAGTGTATACTATCACAGCTTTCGGATAATGTCGCGAAAAAGTTTTGGTACTCGGTGTTAGATGGCGGTCGGTAGAGGCAGCAGATAAACTTGGTCGATGACTTTGAGGTGAATTTTAGCCATATGATATCAAGGTTCGCTGGTTCTAGCTTCTCCTCTCGATGACATGAAAGGTCATTTTTAATGTACACACAGATCCCAAAATTATGTCGAAATCGGTGGTGTAGGTCATAGCCGGGATAAATATAGTTCACAATAGGTGTTGCAGAACTGATTTTAGTTTCAGTGAGAAGAAGGATGTCAGGTCTTTGTTCTTCAAGATGTTGGTGAACTGAATTCATATTTGTACGTATTCCTCTAATATTGCTAAAATCAATTCTGAGTTGAGTTTTTGATCTTCTCTTTATATCTTTGCATGAAGGACCCCCAGGATCACCCGACGCCCGGAGATCCGAGTGGTCGGGTATTTTACCTCCGGAATATTTTGATCCTGGAGGCGCCATCATGCTATCTGTTACTCATTGTATGAGGCCCCATTATTAAAATTAACAAAATTAGCGATTGTGTGTGATAAGATAATTACTGGCGCGTAATTCACAATCAAGCTTTTAATAGAGGGTAATTTTTTTTGGTAGTGGCCGATAATTACTTTCCTTATTTCAACTTAATGGCCCTTCGAGTGCTTATATACAGCCCTTAATTGACTTTTACGGTCTTAAATTTCCTAGGTGGGCAGAACAGAATTAGAGTTAATGTACAATAAATGACTTTTATTCAGTTTTATTTCCTTGTAAAAGTCATAGGATTTTATGTTCTTCAAGGGCATAAATTACGTGCGAAAACTTTTCTTCAGGGGAGAAATCCGACTTTACGAATCGAGTTTGCAAAAAGGGCACAAAACGCTGTCTTCAAACTGAATTCCTGTATGAGAAAAGTTTAGTGCTGATATTAGAGTTAAAGGGGGTGCATTGAACTATCTCTTGTGCGAAAAGGCATAAATCAGAACCGGGAAGTTGAAGTAGGAGACCGGTGCCTTACCAAAAGAAATATACATAATATTACAGTATGGAATACTATAGGTGGTCGGCTTACTAGCTGAGAAACAGACATTCTGCACAATGTTAAATATTTTCGTTCTCGCAAATATTGCTTTGGCTGTGACTAAAATCAGATCACGATCGACTGACTCAAACTAATAAAAATTGTATTGCTGCTTGCTTCAACTGGATTCACACAGGAACCACATTAGAGGGAGCAGTGCAGGAAATACCTTAGTATGCTCTTGTGAAGCAGCGTCCGTAATTTCTAGCTAGAGTCTAGACCCAGTTTATTATGCATACACTGGACTACAGTATGTTTTTCACCTACTACATCGACAATATATTATATCCTTTTATAAAGACTATTCTAAACTCGTATCTCTGAAAATCAAATCACACTTACCATATACTTGAAGCATAATGTGCTCACTGATATCACTCTGTTCCTCTCCTTTAATTACATTCGTAACCTTGCACTTCAATTCTCCCTGATACTCGTAAGTGACGTTTCTGATGTGTAGCTTGGCCTCTCTGCCGCGCTCTATGACGCTATCGGATTGTTGCGACGTTTTTGTCTGGATCCACTGGTAGGTCGGCGGTGGGTTGCCTTCGCCCAGACATTCGAAAGTTACAGGGGCGAATAGGGTGGAGGTTTTGACGCGTTCGCGTCCAACGCTAATCACTTTCGGATGAGCTGGAGAGTAAATTAGACGGTTAGACAGCATTCAGAAAACGGATGGCCACTTAAAAACTGCTTTTTGATACAGGTTTGCGATGTATAATTCAAACTTTAGAGATTCGTAGTTTTCAGACAACTAATAATTATGGCTGTTTAGTTCATTTTCTTCCTGTCAGCTTCAAACGGGGGCAAAGCGTAATAAATTGCTCAAAGTTATAAAAGTGGCTTTGTGCTGATTAAAGAATCATATTTCAGCTCCGGAGACGCGGGCGTCCCGCTCATTAATTCCGCCTCGGACCGGCTCTAATAAATGATAATCTCCGGCTAATTCCGCGCAAAATCGGCGTAAGGGATTCAATGAATCTATACTTCAAGACCAGCTGTGATATTATATCCAAAATTTCACTTGTATCATGAATCTCCATAGCGAAACTTACGTATCAAGTATTGCAAAAGATGCTCATGTTATTGAAATGTTATGAAATTTGTACCAAAGTGGTACATTTAATTTTTGTGGGGATAACTTTATCCGCCATGATTAGGTTGATAGAATTATTGAAAAGTTTAGTTTCGACTAATTTAATAATTGGGAAGGTAAGTTCTATATAGCCGAGGTAATAGACTGTTTCGAAAATAGATAGAAAACGGCAATATTTTGTATCACCTAGTTGTTGCCAGGGAACGAGAGTTAACCGTCAGGAGACATTCTTTATTGTATTGACAGAAATCTCATTTCCTTTCAGTAAATTAAAATAATGATGAGCATAAATTTTATTCGAATACAATTTTAATTTTAAGAATTTCAATAGGTACATTATAAAATATTTTATGGCATTCTTAATCCATTTGTGAATAATAGTTATTTATGTCATACCAGTACATTATTGTCTTTTTATACCTTAGATACCATCTATATAATTCATCACTTTATGCCCGTGCGGGCATAAAGTACACATTCTGGCCCGCGCGGGCATAATGTACCATTCTAAACATCAGGTTGACAATAGGCATGATGACAAATTTTGAAAAATTATTCACAATGAATAACATATTTCTGCAGATAATAAAGATTTTAGTAGAAAAAATTACATTTTAGTTTTTATATTCAAAATTCGCGCCAAAACGCTTCTCAGTGTCATGGCGTCATTCGTGACGTCACGTTTGAGTAAACAAAACCTAAACGCTCATTGAAAATTTGAATAATTTAGATATTTTGTGTAATTAAATATGAATTCCAAAATGTACAAGTGGTGTGCGGTTTCTCAGTGTGATAACACATCATTAAAAACTCCTGGAAAGTTATTTGCCTTAGTTCCACACAATAAAACCATAAGGGATAAGTGGCTTAAACTTGCAACGCGAGATTCAACAGCAATATTGCCTAGAACTTACCTTTATTTTTGTGAAAATCCTTTCAACGCAAGTATTTAATTTACTTCGTAGATTTTAAAATAGTATGTATCTTGTTTGAGGTCTAAAAATATTAAAACAATCTTACTTAGATAGAAGTTTTACCATTTCTTGATTCTTTTCTGCTTAATCTTTGTTCCATGACTCGCGTTATTTCACTTTTGATTCAATATTTGGTATAAAGAACGCACGGTATAAACAAAATTGAGTCGCAAATTAAATCGCAAGAAAATCACGGAACCAGTCGTTTGTTAACTGATTTACTCAAAAGTGACGTCATCCGTTCTGATTGGCGTTTAACATAATATGGCGGACCTTCGTATTTTGCAGTTTTATTTTATCAAAATAATCATCAATCTGGCTCCTAATAAAAAAATAAATGCGTGTTTCGTATTCCATGAGTCAAGTTTCATCAAGTGAAAACACAATTTAAGTGATTTTCAATTACTGTTAGCATGCCTATTACGCCGCAAATGACGTCGTTTGCGTGTACGCAAAGTTGCATCGATTTCAAATAAAGTCCCCCTGGTATGACATAAAAGTTTATATGCACCACGGGTACTAATAGATATATACCCTCGGGCGACTTACGAACCCTCGGGCCAGAGGCCCTCGGCTTTGTAAGGCTGTCGCCCTCAGGGCATAATCATCTACTTAGTACCCTTGATACATAAATAACTATTATGTGTCAAGGGAATTATGAGGGTGTTAATACTCCAGGGCAAAGTTTGTGTCCCGAGGGCCTTCGGCACGAGGGATACCAATTGCCCGTAGGTATTAACACCTGATAATTCACGTGGTACACAGATAATTTTATTTCCTACTGAATTTACTGTATTTTGTCAATTTTTATAAAGGAATAAACCATTAACCAAAATTTCTATTTTTTGTCAAAATTTCACCTATTCAAGGTAAAAGCGGGAGTTATGAAATCCTTATTTCCCTTGGGAGTTAAGACCCTGTTTCTGATTATCGTAACCAAGGTATTATATGGTTATAATAGTTCAGTAGGAAATAATAGTTATTTATGTATCAAGGGTACTAAGTAGATGATTATGCCCTGAGGGCGACAGTCTTACAAAGCCGAGGGCCTCTGGCCCGAGGGTTCGTAAGTCGCCCGAGGGTATATATATCTATTAGTACCCGTGGTGCATACAAACTTTTATGTCATACCAGTTGGTTGTGAATAATAAATACCTGGAAAAAAAGTGTCACTTCGCAAATTGTCATCAATGTGCAAACATCATAATTTTTTGACAAAAATAATATGTTTATCAGCGTAAATTTATATTTTGTTGATAAAGAATAAGTTAATTGGAAACTGTTTTTTGCGTCCTTATGCCCGCGCGGGCCATAATGTGTACTTTATGCCCGCAAGGGCATAAAGTAATGAATTATGTAGATGGTATCTAAGGTATAAAAACACAATAATGTATTGGTATGACAAAAAATTAATAATGCAATTTCAATGTTTTAATTCCAGGCCTCCGTATTGCCAGTCATGGCTTGCGCCTTGCCTACGGTCCTACGAGAATGTTGAACTTTTTCTGCTCTTTACAATGTACTATTAATAATAATTATAATAATAGCTAAAGTTTACATTTATCAATGCCAGGCAGGTTCGATACGTTAACGTTGCTTTGAGAAAAATAGAGGAGAGAATAAATACCAGCCTAACATATTCCAGTAGAAAAGGGAGCACTATATGAGCAATTTATTACGTTCTGTCCAGCTTTCATGTCACAAAATGCTATTGGAGATAAAAATTGTGTAATTTCATGGAAAATCAGTACAATTTGATGATGAGCCTTGAAGGTACAAGAGTGAAAAGGAGGGCTAAGTTATTGTGCAACAGAAGCGAAAAACATGCAATAACTTCCACGGGACCGCTAGTAGCTAAATAATAGTAAAACCTGCCACATTTTGGCTTTAACATAATATTGAAACTTCACAAAAAAAGATATAGATATATACAGGGTGTCTCTGAAAGCTCTGTACAAAATCTTAGCCCATATTCCTGAGGTTAAAATAAGTCGATTTAAAGCAACCTACCTCAGTCCAAAATTGCTCCGTTTCCAGATACAGGGTGGTAAATTTAAAAAATAATATTTAAATTTTTCAAAATTCATGAACATTTTTCAACGTATTACTTTAAAAATTGGTACCCGGGGGTTTTTTGGGACGCGAAACCTAAATATGGACACCTTTTCACTATGGCCGCTAGAGGGCACTTCACAATGCTCTACTTATCGTTTAAAATGGCCTTAACTTTTTTCTCAGTTATGATCCTACTCACATTTAACATCAATCTGGACTCGTATCGGTACGGAATCACCGGCTTTATTCCTGGCATGGCAGGTGTACAATCCAAAGTGCTGTCTGATGGCCGGACTGAATTGCAAAAGCTCTTGCAAACTCGCTGGTTGATTTTGGCCTTCTCGTCTCCATACAACCGAAGGTTTAGGATTCGCGCTCACGGCGCATCTAATTGCTATAGAGTGTTTCAGGTCTTCTATGTCAGTGGTTGGGATGCCAACCAAACGAGTTTCTGAAACAACTGAAAATAATTTTGATATGTGATTTTACTTATGGGTTCAATACTTATTTAATTTGCTTGTAGTTCTTTGAATTTTCGGCAAACATCTAAAAAATATTGTTCTCTATTTTTTTACCTTTATTTTAGAATGCCATGACGCCTATTAACGGAGCCATGACACTTTTGAATATGTTTTATATACAACTATTACAATTTTTAGTGTCATTTATTTTCGTTTTTCACTGGCCCAAAATAATCAACTTTACTGACGACCAAATAGGACTTTCTCATCTTTTATGGGAGCGTTTTCGAATTAAAATACTTTAAAAACATACACGAAATTTTATGTCAGCTGTAAGAATAAGAAAGTTATGAATAAATATAACATCTAAATATTGTCACGGCTTTGGGTTGCCTGACAGAAATCTTGGGTTCGTTTCGTTTATTCCAAAAATCAAAGTCCAATTAACACAGCAATAATTTATTCCACTAAACAATACACTCTGTCACTAATTACTTTAATAGCTAACTCAACAATTAAACTCTTACAACTCGCAATAATCACTATTTAAATCGTATCACAGTCAAACTGAAACTTAGCTTACAAACCAAGGCCGGCCTTCTTATATATTCCTAAATCTATTCCTGTAAAATCTAGAATACACACGAAAATCTTATCTACCCTATTAAACTAGAATAATTCGCTAGTATATTCAAGAGGGAATGCCAAAGATTCTTGACAGCCTGGCGAACGCCACATTGCCCTCCTCTTAAGGTTGATCGTTCCGATCAACTTCACGCCTATGATATTTCGTTAACCTGTCCAGATGTACAACTTTCATCTTACTCCTGGTGTTGCGTTGAACTCGATAAACCAAATCATTGATCCTCTTGATTACTTTGTAGGGTCCTTCCCATGCTGAAGATAACTTCGGCGACACTCCTTTCTTTCTCGCTGGATTATACAACCACACTAAATCACCTTCTTGAAATCCGGCCGAATTGGCTTTCAAGTCGTATCTGGTTTTCATTCGGTCACTGCTAGCTGAATGTGTTCCCGAGTAAGTTCGTGTATTTCCAGTTCGTGCCCTTACTTCGTC